AACACCGTGTCTTTCATTCTCTTAAAAAAAAAAAAAAATTTAGACACGAAAAAAAGGAATGCAGCATCTATACCTACTTAATATGTAAATATACTTGAAAAGTGAAAAAATACGCGAGTGCAACACACACAAGAGATACCTATATATCGAAAAAATACATCAAATCTAAGTACGTGATGCATGTACAAAAAGAGTGAAGAAAAAAAAAGGGGAGCTAGAGTAAGAGAAAAAACAGTGCTCGTGTCGATCTCTACAAAAATGTTTATTGTATATGTCACTTACATGTATTTTCGTATCGAGCGTGTCCGCGATTGGACGGCATGGAAAAAAAGCGAAAAAATGGTTTCCCTCAAAAATCGTTTCAAAAAATATTATGTATTTTTTTCTTTTTTCTCATCATATTCCACGTGCAAAAAAATCTCAATTCAGTGCAACAAAAATTCTTACGGTCCGTAACAAATGTACGCTCGAGTTTTCACGGCTGTAGCGCTATTCTCACTCTCCCACACGTTGATGGTACTTGATACACAACGAAAAAAAAAAAAAAAAAAAAAAAAAATGTAATATTTGCATATATTATGACTCAGGTCATCCCCGTTTTTTGTTCCCCTTCGATCATTTGTATACGTACAATCCATTGAAAGATTGGCCCAATAAATCGGTAAAGGTATAATGATGGTGACTTGTCCCTCTGGGATGAAAATTACAGAGCAAAGGATTCGCAAGAATTACGGGGTAGCTTACTGAAACTACTGCATCTACTTTACGGCACAAACAAATTTTGTACAATATATATACACACATGGGTTGCATGTATAATTAACATATGAATCAACAAGCAGTAGTGGTTGTTACCAATAAATCAATAATAGCAACTCCGTATAAACTGCGCTCAATGTGATCACGTAGCATGGGGATGATATTACGAGGGTTCTTAATATGTCATCGAGTCACTGTGTACCTCCTACCTGTTGGATCACCCGTGCCCGGACAACAGCCGCGTTCCTCCATCAGGACCCCCTCCTATATCAAGACCAGGAAAAGAGAAGAAGGAGGTGGAAGAAGGGCAAGGTAGGTAAAAACGAGCAACGCGGCTGTTGGCCGGGCACGCGCCGCCTCTCGAGGTGCCACATCAATTGAACAACAGCTCGAGAAAAAACGGCCGTACATATAATGGATATAGTAATGTCCCTCGCTCGGTGTGCTTACTGTACTGCTTCGTCCGCACGGGCAGGGGAATCGTGGTGGCGCCCTCGCCCCGCTGGCTCCGCGCCGCCAGCCACACGTAGTACAGGGTGTTTGGGTACAGGTTCGTCAGCGTGTACGTCTCGACGGCCGGGATCTTGCGGTGGTGCTTCTCCTGCGAACGCGACCCGAGAGTTGCCGTTATAGCCAGCACCTAATACAGCAGTGGTCAAAGAAAAAAAAAATACGGGGGTAACCTTGGCGTAGGTGTCGTTCCAGTAGAGCTCGTAGCTGAGTATGTTCTCGGCGCTGTGGGCGGGCTTGTTCCACTCGAGGGTGACCTTGGTCTCGCCGACGTCTACGGCGGTGAAGGACTCGGGCTGGCTGGGCACGCCCTGCTGCGTCTTTATCTGGACGGGGGCGCTCAGGGGTCCCGGGCCGGCGCTCGTCAACGCCTGCACGCGGATCGTGTAGATGACGAGGGGCGTCAGGTCGGAGATGGTCGTCAACTGGTTGTTGTCGACGGTCTGGAACTGCCAGTTCTGCATGGACTGGCTCGGGTCGGTCGTGTAGTACACCTTGTAGCCCTGCACATATAGCGTTTCGTTATTATTATTTTTTTTTGTTTTCATGATAATTGGCTCGTTGGGTCGTATGTACTTACGGTGACTTGGCCGTTGGGTGTTTCCGGCTCGTCCCACTGGATGACCATCGTGGTCGAGCTCAGCGGGCGAACCTGCACTCGGCGGGGTGCGCTGCCTGGTCCTGTAAAAACAAGGTTTTCTTTTTTTTTTTAAATCCCGTTTTCCCGCACTCGCGTGTATAGGACAAAACGATCCTGAGAGTTGATCGATATACTTGTGGTATACACATTTGACAAAAATAAAAAACAAAACAATACTAAAATAAACATGGTTGCTGTGCTGATTATAACACTACGGTTAGTGATTCATTGATTGATTGGTCTCGGTGTTCAAAATAAAGTTCAAAAAGGGTGGATCATGTGTCTTTTGTATTTATTTATTTTTTTTAATTTGTAGAACCAAAAAAGTAAAAGTAAAGAGTAAGTTGTGATAAAACAGGGTGTTTGAGAAACAGCGAGTATTTTAATTAACTTTGATTCGGTGTTTTGACGTAATATATCTACAATGTGCCACACACAGAGTTGTAAAAATTAAAATATAATCAGTTTGAAAAGTCCGATGGAAATTCGTACAGTGAAAAACAATTGACTCCAAAGGACGGAAGATGATGGTAGTGATGGAATTTCCATGTGACTCGAAAATATGTGTAGTGAAAAAAACGAATAAGAAAATAATAAGTAAAAAAAGAACCAAAATCACTACGGCACACTTAGTACGTGACTTTGACTTACTGGCGCCTCCATTTGTTGATTCCGCTATATGGAAAAGGTCAATTGATTATTCAAGGTTCACTCGACTATTTGCGTATAACTCGAGTGCTCGTGAAAATACGAGGATGCATCATTTTTTTCTTTTTTTTTTCTCTGCCCGGACTCGTATTTACACAAGCACGTCACTGAGAGAATTTTAAAATTTAATTTTTATCTATATTTGGTGCTTGTTTTATTTAATTTTTTCATTAACTTTGATAAAAAATATAGTGGGTGCAGTTGAAACCAGTGCAATTTGCGAGCCACGTTAATGGCGGATTGGTTGTTTTCTTTATTTTTTTTAATTTCGAAATACCTGTCTGCGTTATTAAAAATGTTCTCAAAACCCGCGTAAATAAGTAGTTGGGCATCCCCATTAATTTGGCTGAAAGCATGTTCAATCTTCTCTCAGTGGACTAATTTTAAGGTGCTCTAAGAGTCGAGGAGGTAAGGGTGCAATTAGAGATAATTTCGTAAAAACGTCGAGTTGCTGTGGTGAACAAAAAAAAAAAAAAAAAAAAAAAAAAAATTTAGACACGAAAAAAAGGAATGCAGCATCTATACCTACTTAATATGTAAATATACTTGAAAAGTGAAAAAATACGCGAGTGCAACACACACAAGAGATACCTATATATCGAAAAAATACATCAAATCTAAGTACGTGATGCATGTACAAAAAGAGTGAAGAAAAAAAAAGGGGAGCTAGAGTAAGAGAAAAAACAGTGCTCGTGTCGATCTCTACAAAAATGTTTATTGTATATGTCACTTACATGTATTTTCGTATCGAGCGTGTCCGCGATTGGACGGCATGGAAAAAAAGCGAAAAAATGGTTTCCCTCAAAAATCGTTTCAAAAAATATTATGTATTTTTTTCTTTTTTCTCATCATATTCCACGTGCAAAAAAATCTCAATTCAGTGCAACAAAAATTCTTACGGTCCGTAACAAATGTACGCTCGAGTTTTCACGGCTGTAGCGCTATTCTACACGAAATGGCAAATACACATGGTGGCGATTCTCGTATTTATTATACAGCTATATATATATTGCATTATTCGTTCAATCGAGAATAAATAGTAGGGATTATCAATAACACTTGTTCTCGATCGAACGTATAGAGAGACGCTGAAAATATGAAAACGATATTAAGTAGATGATGAAAAGTGTAAGAGACAAAGAACAGAGAGAAGGAAAAAAGTCGTAGGTAAAAATAGCGGTATTGAAAAAATGCACGGAAAGGGTGTTGTGTGAAGTTACGATTAGACTTGGGTAACTTGTCGCTATTCACAAAACACCCTTGTTCCCATTACTCGTGCGACAAAGTTCGAAACAAGAGTCGTATAAATGACGAAAGATGAAGAGAGATGGAAAAAACGGCGAAATACTGACTTGTTTCCCCGGTGGTGACGAGCACGGGGGCACTGGGCATGCCACGTCCAATATCATTGACGGCGATCACGAAGAACTCGTACTCGGTGTAGGGGCTGAGGTTGCGCACCTGATAGTGAATCGTCGTTATACCCGATATCTCGGCGTACGCCTGATTCGTGTGCTTCGGCTTGTGCTGTATCACGTAGTAGGCCAGCTCGTCCGGGCCCTTGTACGACCAGGTCAGCTTCACCGACGTCGCCGTGATCTCCGACACCTGCACGTTCTCGGGCGCTATCGGCAAAGCTGTAACAACAACAACAACAACAACAACAACAACAATAATTTTTTCTTATTATTTCATTTGTCATTACGTATAGAGTGTATAGGTGCCAAAGGGTCGACTCACAGTGGACTTTGACGTAGCTCGTGGCGTTGATGATGCCCAGTACGCTGTTGGCGATGCAGGTGTAGTTGCCCGACTCGCGGACGTTCCTCAAGTAGAGCACGTTCTTGCCGAGGGGTATGTCGTTGTCGGGGGTGAGGTCCTCGGCGGGCTCCTTGCGCCACTTGATCCTCGGCATGGGCGCCCCCACGGCCACGCACGTGAGGTTCACCGACGAGCCGTACATCACCTCCTTCACCGGATCCGGCGGGATCGTGAACTGCGGCGGTACGCGGCGCACTGCACCCATCGCCCAATAACCCCGGTTATCGTATTGTTTTTTTTTTCTTTTTTTTCGTCAATGTATACATATATGTATATTGTACAGTGTGTTTTTACCTTTCACGTAGAGGTGGCCGTACTTGGAGTACTCCGTGCCCACGGTGTTGTTGGCCACGCACTCGTACTTTCCCTGGTCCGTCGGCTCCGACTTTGTGATCTGCAGCGATCCTGAATGACGGACACACATGGACAGAAGGAAAATTAATACGGATGAATGGAAAAAAAAAAAAGTCATTGACATCGATTCAAGTGCGCGTATAAAGTACAATCGAGCAGCGTCGTTATCCCCTTGAATCGATAACAAGCAGACAAACAAACAAACAAGCAAAGGCTCACTGCGTGTGTGCACAGCCATATATATATAGGAGGTATATACGTAAATAAGCGAAGCAGATAATCAAACGTCACGCTCATCCGTTTAACTGCTCCGCCTCGCGAGATTCGCAAAGATTGGCACGCGAGACTGAAAGGGGGGGGGGACTTTTACACCCAATGTAATACACACACTCTTTGTGTTATCTGTATGTTATATCCCTGTCGCGCGGCACACGGGTACTTGTGATCCCGCGCTCAATGTCACGGAAACGAATACAACGGCTTTGTCGTCGCCCTTTGTGTCGAAAGACTACATACGCGACGTTTCCATTTCAGCGAACGCGGGAAACGGGAAATCGTCAACCCTTTAAATGGAAATAGAGGGAACACACCTACCATCTCTTTTTGTCCGGGAGTTTTACTTCGATCGGCTCCGCAGCTACACCGTATACCGTTTTGCCAGGAGAGGACGATTTCACCCGAGCGTGTGTATTCCCTCGGCTCGGGTATTTTGTTACATTGTTATTGTTACAACCGTCACTTTCAGCGCAACGTGTCTGTCCACTTGTATACATAGGTGTCAAATTCGGTGTGGTTCAATAGGGGTAAGAAAGTTTCGTGATCAGCCAGATTCCAATTACGAACCCCGCGGGTTCATCCCACGTAACTATACCACCACTTCTTGGCACGCAACTGAGTTGTTTTCGTTGGAAAATCCGCTTTTTTTTTTTTTTTTTTTTTACTCTTCCTGCACCGAAAAGTACACGCGTACGCCACGCGCGAGACGTTGGAAGAAAGTTAATTCAATTCCTGTTTTCAGGCCCTCCTCCCTCGCGAGAGCGCAGGAACGTTCGGACGTTGCACGCCGAGGAGTAAATTAAGCCGCGGTCATCGCGTGGCCGGCAAATTAAAAGGAACGGGAGAGGAAGACGAAGTGACCGCGCGTGAGCTTAGCAAACAGAGGAAGCCCGAGGGGGGGGGGGGGTGAGAGCAAAGAAGAAACGGAACGGGAAAAAGAAAGACAGATAACAAGGTGCACGAAGGGTGTACGTGTACACGGTGCGACCGCGATAACGAGATGAACTCTACTCGTCGACGCGCGATTATCTCGTGTTTGTTTGTTGTTTGTTGTTTTTTCATTCGCGCGTGCGTGGCTTTGTGCTCCCTCGCTTTCTCGACGACGTGGGAGTCGCATTGTCCGCGGGGGAGAACAAACGCACACCGAAACCACTTGTGTCGCCGCTATCCACTCGGAAAATCATGAGATGTCTGACCAAACTCGCATGTTACTACTTAAATTTTTTTTTTTTTTTCAACCGTAAAACCGTCAGCGCGCACCATAGGTATACTTCGTTGTTGTTACACCAACGCTTGGTACTCGAAAGCGGGTAAATTAATTTTTTTTCATTAATTAATATACACAAAACCTATGCAGAGGCGACTTCCCCTGTGCAGCGAGAACGATTGGCGTTGGGGTGTACAGCAGAGGTGAGGGGGTCCCCGTAGGAAAGTACTCCATCACAAGGACGGGACGGTATCGGCTCCGATCGGGGCTCCTAATCGCCCCGGCTCATCTGCGCGGGTAACGTCGCCGGCTGTCCGACCGGACGTCGAGCTCTCCCATGTGTACACACGACGTGTATTACATGATACGCGTATCGTATACACGTGTAGCGTTAACATATACGTGTACGTGTGGGTGTTTTTTTTTTTTTTTTTTTTTTTTTGTTTCTTTGTGGCTCTCACGTGCTTCGGTAGATGCGTGTTTTCAGATAATCATCATTATCATTTTGCGCGAGTATTATGGCCCACTCGTGTTTTCTTCATCCATATACCGTTGTGTATACAGTACAGATATTCATCTACCGTGATGGCAAATGTAATACGCGATAGAGAGGATGATTTGTAATTCTCTTTCGATTCGGACGTACACCGGCTCGGGGCAAATATTAATTTTATGCCCGTCGTTTCCTCTCGATGGGAATGCTCAGATAATCCAACGCACACGCCACACAATAATTAATAGACTGCACTCAGTGTACGACATCGGATTGTGTGTGTGTGCATTATTAAATTGAATTAAAGTGGCCGTAATGTACATTAGCCGAGCGAATACGTCAAACTACGTAGCCGTGATAAATATAATATCGGGCGTGCAGTGCCCGTGATAAAAGCAAAAAGCCGAGTGAATGCATCAGTGGCGCGTCACCTTTGGCCTCCATCGGGCACGAATCGAAGAGCCGTAATGAATTAGTCGTACGCGAGAGCAAGACTGCGCAGTTGTCGGAGAAAAAGGTTAAATTAAACGGGGGCGCACGGGCATCGTGTGTTTGTAAATGATTGATAAAAAAAAAAAAAAAAAAAAAAATAGTAAAACAGAGCGAGCGAGTGGCAGGATGGAAAAAGGAGCCGAAGCTCGGCGTAAGCAGGGCTCATAAATTATTAATGAACAACAGGCAAGCGCGACTCGAGTATGCAACGCGCGAATAGCTTTTTCGTCTGGTGGTGCACGCGAGAGTATACGTCTGTCCGTTCGTGTGAGGCGCCAATCCCCTGGAATCGTCGAATCGATTGGGATTAATTGTTATTTAGCATCACCGTGTGCCAATAAATATTCAGGTGCTTTGTTTTTTCCCTATTTTTCACGTAGACACGGAGTACATGAGTGCAGCTCCGTTCAGAGTATTCCGTGTTTTTTTTTCCTCCCGATTCTTCTCAACAACTTTAATAAAGGCCCGAGCGTGTGCACATGAAGTGCACGTTTCTCGGTTTCCATTAATCGAAGAGAAGACCGAGCGGATTATCAGGACGGGGCAGAAAAAATACTTTGCTCTTATAATTAACGACTTATCCGATAATCCCATTTGATCTTGCATTTTCATACAAGCATTGTACCAGCGCGGTGCGAGTTAATTAAAAAAAGTTAATCAAAGCTGCCACCTCCCCTCCTTTCTCCCACGGGCGAGGGGGCCGAGTGTCCTATTTTTCTTTCTCGTTTCGAGGACCGATCGCGGTCAAAGCACAATTATACGCCAGGTATGGGGCTCGTAATGCACACGCGGATTTAATGAAACTCGTACGTTACTCGGGCCAACGCGTCCACTCCGAGGATATCAAGCAAAATTAATAGGAGAGGATTAAAAAAAGAAGAAAAAAAATACGAGCTCCAGGTGGCACGCCTTGGGGAAAATCAAAAGAATTTCGAGTCGAGTGACATTGTTGCTGTAGTGCTTGAGAATTGATTCAAGGGTTGAAAGTTCAAACTAAATGTTTAGACATTTTCACAAACCACATATTTGCGAGACAATAATTTTATGATTAATGATCCACTGAAATAGACTTGTTTATTTTTTACGTACACCCAAGTTATTTCATATCTTTGCAACGAGGAATATTAAGTTTTCCATAATAACGTTTGAACAGTTAAAAAAAGTCCTTCGAATGTACGTTACGTACGCGCGCTGCTGTGCGTCTGACCAAATATTGATCTCATCCACTTGGAATCACTTAAAAGGGCCCCCCGGGGTTATCAAACAAATTTCGTATTTACCAGACCTTATCTTGTAGGTACAGCAACTAAAGTGTTTTTTGGTACACGAAACTCGAAAAAATTCCAAACGCAAACTCACTCCGTGCCGGTGTACACACGCGCAAAGATACGGATAGAGCGAGAGAAATAAGGCGAAGAGGCAGCAGGAAACTCGGGCTACGTGCTCTCGTCCCGGTGCATTCAAATAAACGTATAGGCAGCAGCTTTTTCCCCCTCTCCACTATACACGCGTGCTCCACATGTATGTTTGTGCACTCCAATATTGATATATCGACTCCTTTTACATTTTGTAGTCAGAATAGACTTCGACACGCGCGAGGTAAATGCAAAAACACACACACACACACACACACACATCTCTAGTGGAAACAGCAACTATACAGCGGAGATATGAAGAAGGGGCGAAACGCACGAAAAGTAGGCAAAGTAGGCTTTCCCCGAGTTGGTCGTGAGAAACTTTTCAACCGTTTGGCAGGACCAACTTTTATCCTTTCGCCGCGCTTTCGTTCCTCGCTGATCGGAAAACGATGACCGTCGCGCATGGTCATACTCCCGAAATATTTCTGGCGTACGATGAATTGATTTATCGCGCCGAGGAGAAATATTTATGGGCCGCGCGTCATTTGGGATATAAATATTAACGAGTCTTTCATTTTTGTTGCGACTGCTGCGAGGCGATGTGGAGCCGAGTGGGGGGTTATTTTCCCACGAAAAATCGGTTTTTAAAGCATTTTTATAATCCCATCGAGCGTCGCGCCGTGATAAATTAAGACTCCGTCCATAAATTTTCATCAATTGCCACGCGTTCAACTCAATATTTTCCAAGTATGATGCATGGCGACTCTTCGCCGCTCCGCCCATTACGGGCTGCCAATGGACGCGATACGCGCGGCAGCCATCGATGCAGATGACATCGCGCGAGTGAATATCGGTATTATCGAAGGCACGAATTTGAGCCGTAGAACAACAAAAAAGAAAAGCTAGACGCGTTGAGTTTCCCATCCGAGCACATTCGCCGGGTAACGTGTTTGCACACGTCGACGAAACGAGATGTTGGTACACACGTGTGTAACCTTGTCTGCTTCCCTCGCGGCTATTTGGGACGAAAGTTACTCCCTTCCGGCGCTCCCTGATTTTTCTTCCTCTCTCTCGCGCAAATGTTTTCTCAAAACTTTGGATCCTCCCCCATCTCCCTTATCTTAAGGCGCAGTGTATACACACACGCCGCTTGTGTACAGTTTTTGCCACGTGTGGCTTAAAGAATTATTTTTCTGGGTCAATGTGGTGTTTGCCCTTACGCCGT